GTGGCACAAGCAGCGTCTTCGATGCGCGGTAGAAGCTAGTTTCAATAGGGATCTCACCATCATCTTTTCCATGCACTTCATAACCAAGGACACCTATATCGTCAAATTGGACTGAGCGTATGTATTCGGTGTGTCACCAGACATTCATGAGCCAGCTCTAGAGCAGAGATTCAGTCTGAAACCACTCAAGACACTCATGACGTATCTTTATTCTTTAATCGTCGAAAGATGGTCAAACACCCAAAGCATCCTGCTTCGAATATGGGACCTTTCTCGAGCACTTTTATTAGACGATAGCAAGATAAATTGAATATCTTGATTGTCGATTAATCATTTCTCGAATCGGCGCTTGAGCCAATTTGGTGGCTGCATTCAGCTAATTATAAATATGCACATTCGCCACCCTTCTTACACAAAACATCGGCACCAAGTGGGGGGGGTCTTTTTTCTCTCCAAACTCACTTCCTGCCTCGCGCGCAAGAAAGCGTCTCTGAAATCACTCGGTTTCTTTGATCAGGGTCATTAGCGTGTTAAACAACTTTTCGGATCAGGTAGAATTTTGATTTCATGATGCAATCCCAAATCTGGGAGAGTGGGTCTCTCACCTCCACGCCATTATATTCCTTCAGCATAAAAAAGTCTGTTGGATCCATTTAAATAGACATTGCAATTCTCGCTTGAGTGTTAAGGCTGCGGAAAAGAACTACCCAGTTAACGACAAGGATTACCTGCGATGAAGTATGCACTTGTCAAGTTCAGGGTGCACCTGCTTGGCTCAAAGCCGTTTGTGATCTACACATATCATACACTGCGACTCAGACGCCTCATCTCTCGCAGAGGATGGCCAGGTAGCTATCATTTTTTGTAGAATATAAATTCGAGGTGAAGTATAAGCCAGGAAAGCAGGATGCTTTGGCTGATACGTTGTCACGTAGACCGGATTATGGGCTTGCTCATGTCACGATGGTAACGTCGCCAGTGCCAGATCTGATTCGCACCGCATACGCAAGTGATGGCATGTGTGTAGCGCTACTACAGGTTCTCAAAAGCAAGTAGTCTGGAAAATTAATTAAAAAATTGTATGCGCGTTTGTGCGCACGGTTGTACCGATATTCGTTGAATAATGGGTTGCTGTATTATAGCACCGATTCGACGAAATCACAACTAATTGTAGCTCCCCACGATGAGGATTTAGAAAATCGTATCCTCTATGAGCGCACGACGCTACACTCAGTGGTCATCTAGGTCGTGAGATGACGTGCAGCTCTGTGAGTTTCCACTACTGGTGGATTAGGCTGTACAAATGGACGAGCACATACGTGCGCACGTGCGAGAGGTGCCATAGGGTGAAATCCTCTCCGAATGCGGCGCCGCTGGCCAGTTTGCCGGTACCCTCCAGGCGTTGGCATTCCATGAGTTGGGCTTTGTGCTTGGCCTGCCGAAGGACTAGACGGGCAACACGGGTGTGGTGGTCTTTGTGAATTGTTTGAGCAAGATGGCTTATCTTGCGGCAGTACCTAACACCATCGATGGTGTGGGTTTGGCGACGCTGTTTGTGGATCGTGTTTTACGACGACATGGACTCCCGGAGTCAATTATCTATGACACCCACGCTTCCTTAAAAGTTTTGGTCGACAATTTCCAGTGTGCTGGGCACCAAGCAAATTGTCTATGACAGACACCCACGCTTCCTTAAAGGTTTTGGTCGACAATCTTCAGTGTGCTGGGCACCGAGTTGACTATTTCACAGCGGACCATCCGCAATCCAATGGTTAGACTGAGTGCTTGAATCGCGTCGTTGAAGATGTTCTTTGCAGCGTCTGCGCTGAGACGCCGAAGCGCTGGAGCGCCATGCTGTCACTCGTAGCGTTTACTTTGAACAATGCGGTTCATTCATCTACCAGCTACACGCCGTTATACGTGAACGGGCTTGTGAATCCTCGCTTCCCGCTGACACCGCCAACCAATGGATCAGGGCTTGGTGGAGGAGGAATAGCCGAACGGCTAGCTGATGTCATCCCCCTCACCGTGCATAAATAGTCGAGAACTATCTGTCTACAAGACTGAGTGTCCTACGACACGCTCGCGATTAAATACCAAGACATGCTGAAAGAATATGTAGATGGAATAAGCAGAAGAAACGTTGAAGTTTTTGAGGTCGGAGACCTGGTTTTATCAATTGCTAGAAACCTTCCTACACGTGGACTTTAAGACGAAGCTCCGTCCACGGTTTATCGGACCTTTTAATGTCTTGGCCAAGCGAGGCGTTGCATATACGCTAAATCATCGGAGAATGATGCGACCCCACCCGATATTTTATGTGGGCTTGCGTAAGTCGTACCGGGATCCGGCACAAGTGAACGCGTAAGTGCTGGTGCCGGGGCGGCACCCACAGGCGACGGCCACCTAGAAGCGAAATCACAACTGATTTTGAGCACGAAGTGCATCGATCTCCGTTTCCGACGGCGCCAGGCGCTCCAGCGTAGCACAAAGGGACGTGTTTGCCTGCTCGACAGCTAGGAGCCCCTCCGACAAAGCGCAATATTCCTCAACGAAAGGCAGTCGGTGCACAAAGTGCTCCAGGATCTTGAGGACTTTCGCACAGCGGTAGACGCCCTCGGTAAGATTCTCGGCGGAGTGCCGATGACGATGTAGTTTGTCCTCCAAAGCTCGAAGAGCATCGCGAGTCACGGGATGGCGATCGACCAAGTCGTCATCATCCGCCGCCGACTCCTTTCGATAAAAATGGTGGTGTTCACTACCGCGTGGAAAGTCTTGTGGTCGAGTCCAAGATCTCGTGAAGTGGCGGGGATACCGAAACTCCGAGAACTTGTGGGAGTTTGAAGTGCCACTTCGGCAAGACTGTCTATACGTCGTGGATGCTAATGATCAGAACGATCATGACGCTCCGCGTCGTCATTCGCCTTGCGCTTCTTGACAATGCCTAGTGTAGCCGGAGGGCCATGAGCTAAGCTCAATTTATGGCCCTGAGCTGCTGTGGTCGTAGACTAACCCGTGTGAGAAATCACAGAGCTTGCGGGAGCGTGATGAGTTATTTCATGTGTCGCAGGGCAACAATACGCAGATAGTTGGCGCTGCGCCTTGGATTTGGCAAACTCAAATCGAAGATAGCGCTCTACGAGCACGTCCACTTCCTTGTGGTTCCCCTGTAAGTTCGACAGCGAGGAAAGCTTCCGGTGCCACTGCCCCCGCAAAGAGAGCTCTTACCATTTGCAGCGGTTTCGCCACCACAGGTATAGTTCGAATTGCGGGTACAAGGGCACCACCTCTTTGAGCTCGAAGTCGAGCGCGGTGTCTATCTTCGAGGTACCAAGAAGCGAGCTCGGTGGGCTTTTCACTGGTCAAGCTCAGCTTGTTTGTTGGCCGGGGAGTCCGACTACGTAGCCGCCTAACGATCGAGTGATCGCGTCTTTCGCTTCAGTAGCGGGGTCCTCCGAACGGAAATCGTATTCCACACGAGGGTCTAGGACCGAGCGTGGATACGAGCGCAGGAGAGCCGCCTTGTGGGCAGTCTCCAATTGCTGCTCCTGTCTGTGCCTCGTCGAGACGTTCGGTAATGATGCGACTTCCCCCGGAAGTCGAGAGTTCGGGGAACGGACTCGGTGTCCGCGAGGTTTCAGCAGGGCTCACGTTTTGCCGTTGGCGCACCTCACTCTCCTCTTCTGCACATCTTGAAAAAGGATTATCCGACTCATTGTCGACTTCCTCAGAGTCCTTGACAAGGAAATCTGTCGCCCGTGGCGGGCACGATGTGTGTAGCCCGGCTTTCGAGGGCTTGTGATGTGCTTCCCGTGAAACCGCGGACCTACTGTCTGGAGATGCACCGCGTGCTGAAAACGAAGAAGGGCTCTGCCTGCGTACGCCTCGGAACCAGCAATGCTGGGTGCTTTTCGTATCACAGACACAAGGCTCATCGAGCGGAGAAATAATAAATATGGTCCTTGGGATGTAACGATGTCTCAGACACACGAGTCTTGTATGAGGCGACAGTCAGATTATGGGTGTTCACAATTTCGATGGGGAGGGTGTAACGTGGTTACACTTACCCTGACACGTATCCTTGTATAAAATATTGAAGCATACAAGATGGTGTGACCGTACAAAGGTGTGGATTACACAGGTCGGTGTAATCACACAATGTTGTGGCTACACCATATCAAGTAGCCACTACGTGGCGGGACTTATGCATATTATTTAGGTTTGACGATTTAATTAGGAAAGCCGAAAGTTTTAGATATAGGCGGCTCTGTCGCATGTAAACCGAAAATACAGTCTTTAATTTGAACTGGAGAGGGTATTAACCTTGGTTAAGGTTTTGGGTACTCTTGGGGGTAGCGGATTGCGACCTGCTACACTCGTGCCGCTTCTAGTAACGTAAGGTCGGCGACCTTAGCTTAGCTTCCTCTAAGCAAAGAGCTACGGCAGCCCCGCTGCATTACTATACCGGCTATTAGCGCTTGAAATATCTGTTCGTAGTTTGCTTTTCCTCTTTAGGTTGACGGATGGATAAATATTTTCATCGTATGCAGTAAGTCTTGAGATTACTCTCGACATCTGTCGCATGTACAACTCTCATCAGTGTGCTGCGTCTCAAACGGTACAACACAGAATGCCTATTTTGTTGCGCGCGAAAGAGACCGCTATCGTTACGTGCTATTGTGGCCTCAAGGGTGAAAACCAAGTCACGCATTCTTTTTCCTCTCTATCCAAAGGATAGATGCTCCCGTCTTAACTCTCAAGGGATTGACGATTGGCGCAAGCGGCGCCACTCGGCGTTCTCTGTGGAGCTCTTTCGAGTTTTGCCAAAAGTCTGGCTGAGCTATTTTCGGGATATGTGACACCAACGCACATTTAAAGCGTATGAATGCGTACCAAACGAGCAATGACAGCTTTTGAAACTTGGACCGCCAACTACACTATTTCACTGAGGCAAACTGGAGATATAGCATTTTAAGCGCTTCTACTTACCTTGGAGAAGCTGAAACAGCCACATGCGTTGGTGGGCAGCAAATACCGCAAATACGATGTAAGCAAATAACTATACTAGTGCACCATTTTCACGCGTAATGGCAGATATCTCCCGAAGACTGCGATGCTGTAGCGATCTTCTCTTACTCATTATGCTGAGAATGCATTTAAATAAGCGCCTCATTTTTCGAAATGGCTCCTGTCTGGGGGGAGGCTACCGTTCAGATGTGATATATCACTCCCAGCAACACTTCGTAGCAAAATGACAGATTTCAGAGGCTTATCGCGATGACATTAAAAGTCATGCGCAGGGAACGCGAAGCTGTGGCTGAAAACAAAGACAAACAAAGCAACACACCGAAGCCTGAGATAGGCAAAACGGACACGGAAATGTAGTGAAGCCAAACGACTGTATTGAATGCATTTACCCATCTTTCTCTGCAGTCTACACAACTAAGGTACGACGACGCTACATCGAACCGTTCAAAGTCAAAGCTAAATAAGGATTGAGTGGTATGTCCAGCACGCTAAAGAGAATGCAAGCACATCCAGTATTCGATACGGAACTCGCATGAGCTAGTCGATTGTTAAGGGCTATGTTGCAGACAAAGCATCATCGCTACCATCCGCTTTACCTAAGGTAGCCTCTACTCTAAAGCGGCAATGCGCTTCTGAGCCGTGAGGGCGCTTTAAGCCAGGCAGTACAATGGTAGCTAACACGGAATCTCGCCCGTCGTAGCCTCGAATGCCCGCCGTGACTTTAGGAAAGAGCCAATAGGCCGCCACAACTGACAGAGCTC